AGGCCACAGAAGTGGAATAAAATGACCGATAGTTAACAATATTTGAAACTCTACTAGATTTGAGTAGGAGATTAGCTTTGTTGGAATTTGGTAAAATTTTACGTCTAAAAACATAAAAGATAAAATTTCTCGCCAACCTTATGGCATTTTTTACAATACCAGCAGGTTAAGCACTTTCAAATTCCACAGACAATGTTTTCAGAGTAAAATATAAAATGAATCAAGATACCAGCGAGGAAGAATTAAAAAATCTATTAGATTTTTGGCAAATTACATGAATATATACAGGGTGTATGACCGAAGTAGTTCTGATAGCTGACATAGAAGGTGTTTCATCGACTTTGTTAAGTTCTTCACAACTAACAGACAACTCAGTATATTTCTGATATTTGGTACACCATGTTCTCCTTCCACCACCAAAGTGGCTATGGATTTGGATTGAAAATTCCAAATAGAATGAGTATATTGAAATAATACTGATAATTTTATTTATCGAGACTTGGAGAGAAAATACAAGTAAAAGCGAAATTTATATTTATCCAGAATCACCTTGGTCCTCTATTTACTGTGTAGACGTATGACCGTTTCTAATGAAACACCCTGTATAAATGAGTACATTTCAACTTCAATAAACACTAATTTTTGAACATTTCTGAATCAAAATTGGATGATGTAATAGCTTACTTCCAAATGTTTTGATAATGTGCAACCAACATCCGCTGTTTAATTCATTATATTATTATAGTTCATGTTTGGACGAAAACCATCTTGTACTGAGCACAAACAGCTCTTTTATAACAATAAAAAATTATATTTATGATGATGCCATATGGTCAATGAAATAAATAAATTGATTTTCAAATATTTATAAATAAATTTCTGGCTGTCTAACCTTCTGTTATGTTTTATTTTGCCGATCAATCTGCAAAAAAATATTTCCATGAAATAGCTGATTCTATACATGAGAGCATGCAACAACAAATAACATATTAATTTAGTGAACACTAATTCAAATACGTATTGCTGCCTCTTCAAAATAGTGACACATTTGAAAAAAAAACACGAGAGAGTTTAACAACTCAAATGGATATCTCATATACCTGAAGAGTATTTATTTCTGTCTTATTTATTCAAATTTACAATATATAATATCCATTTGGAGAAGAACAAATATTTCACGTTTGAAGCCACTCATGAAATTACAAAATAAAACAATAAAGTGCATGTTCCATTCACCTTTTTAGAATCAACTGTAAATCTATACAAACCTAAAGACTTGCTGAATCTAGTTTCATTATATAAACTCAAAATTTGTTGTTTTATTCATTTTGTCAGGAAGGAATTGAAAATATCAAATTTGAATTTCAATGAAGTTGATACGATTCACGCCCATAAAACAAGGCAATTCAATTCATTGATAGCAAATAATTATAAGTCAAATTTTGGCAAACAATCAATATTCCATAATGGAATAATTATATATAACTTATAACTTAAAATCATTTAAAAAAAATATCTGCTCAGTATACTTTAATTCCGTATCTACTAATCATTCACAATTTGATTACTTGGAATGAATTTTACATTTTATCATAATTTATTTTATGAAAAACAATAATTGTGCAATTATTATTATTTTAATTCATTATGTTATATGTATGTTTTGTTGTACATATCCCTATTATAAACAATAATGCTTCTTGGGATAATAAAGACAATCAATCAATTATTTTCTTCCTATGATTTTAAATCAATCAGAACGTTCACTCGAGTTAAGATACCTTGTATAATTTCGAATATACGTGTCATTTTTTCCAAGAATGTCAATTCAATATTCGCACCTAACTCAAAAGAGATTTTTTGAAATGTGTCCCTATTCTGGAGAAGCAGCGAATATTTCATGAGATTTTCCATTGATAATAGCAACAACAAAAATTGTGCTAACCTAAGTTCTACTGTAAACAGTCATATTCAGCCGCAAGCACAACTAAAATATATCGAATTCCTAATAGTTATGATAAATGTAAATGTCTATGAGCTTGCAAAATCTAAACAAGCAAGCTTACATTTTACTAACTGGAACACATACTTTGGTACTCTTCAATATCTTTGATGCGTTTATTTTGAATGCCATGCTGTTAACCCCTTGGAATGTATTTTGTGGTTTGGATTACAAAAAATTAATGTGATATTCAAAGTATTATTTTATCCATCCATCAACATCAACATGCTTTACAATAAAATACAATTAGCAGTTCCACGAAACACAATACTGCATGAAACTTTCAACACTAACTAACTAACAACAACATTATTAAAACTGCATGAAAATTATTGATACCTATTCACAGAATTATGATAAACATATAGTGTGTCCAAGATAAGCATGCACACATGTAGGTATATCTTGAAATCATCATGAAATCAATTTCCTAATGTATGTTTTTGACGTTTTCAGAAACATTTCCTCGATAAACAGGCCATTTCTCGTTATAAAACAGACATACTATAATATGAATTAGGAGACACTGAACGGAATTCAAATAACCTAATTCAAATTCTTTTTTGGCGCAACATTAACATTCTTTCGTTTTTCTCCGCAATGATTGTACTAAATTTATTCATATTTTGCACGCTCATTTCACTATGATAATCGATTCATTCATAAATGGTTGAAAAAAGGGCTATATAAACACATTGACTGACGTTACAAAGGAGGGAAACAATTGGGAAAATATGATCAAAAAACCTCAAAAAATCATAAAGGAAATTGGTTGAAAAAAGAAAAAATACATGGCCATACACATAAACTAACATGACTGAAGAGGACTCTGAGATCGAAATAGGTGATTTGATAGATCAGGTTGTAGTATGTCAGTTTTATACCAAAAGCAACTGCTCAATGAATCTTCATAGTACTAAGCTACACATCTAGGACACATTGTATATTAGTTTCCTTTCCAGTTAATGTCATCCGATTATTGGATGATATTAATATGTGATTAAAACATGCCATTTATACGAGTAAGAAATTATGCTATACACCAAAAATCGTTCAAGCCAGATAATATTTTGATGTTTTTTTTCACTTTAATCTTTTTGGGGCGCGAACAAGGAAATCGTTCTGTCCGTTCTTAATTAGGGTAGGGAGGTATTGGATCAAAATGTTCAGCTTCATTGTTTGGAATGTTCCTCAGAATATTTGAATTTTGATGCAAATGTCGATTTCATTACATTGATCATTTGTTACCTTTCCATATAATTCAATCGTCTTCAATCCATTTCAGTGTTATATTAGTCAGTTGCCTTCCTTTTCAACATCCAAACAAATTAATTGCCTCCACAATTAAAGACTCATTTGAAACAATTTTAGAGTATTATTTGATGGAAAAAAAATTTCATCAATGAAATAGCAGAAGCATACAGTTTGTCTGAAATTCATACTTGCCGTCATTGTAAAACAGGCTAGTCTCCCTTAGAATTCAGGCTTTAGTACAGCAGCCATTATGGAAACTGCAGGATATATTCTCATTTTTCGCGAAAACTAGGAAGCACTAGGATAAAATTCTTCGCGGTAAAATAAGAATTTCTTCCCTCTACGATTTCTTGAAAAAATGGGTCAATAAATAATTATTTCAGGTACAAATAATCTCCAGATATCTTCGTCAATAACAATTCGCACAACATAAAAATCTAGTCATTGCTTATAAATTATAGTCACCATACAAGAAAAGAAAATCAACAGGATACAACTTGAAAAACATCAAGTTGAAATTAAATTAAAAATTCTGAATATTATGAAGGGTTAAGATATCTTTTCAGCTTATTTGGTCATCATACTAGATTTATTAGAAATCTTTTTGAATAATCGTTTCAATCTGTTACATAAAAGTAGGGTAACCACTTGACTGACTAGACTTAAAAAAATACTGCAATCCTAAGGCCCTCCGCACACGGGTCGATCGGCGACGCGATTCGAATCGTACGACGGTCTCTCCTCTATTCGACTTCCTAAGCAAAGCATCTGGATCCCGCACACGGGTCGTTTAGTGGTCGTCTAGAAACGTACGATTTAAGATCTCCTCGTTTTCAGTCTCACGCGATTAGCAAGGAAGCAGTTTGATCGAGTGAATCTTGCGTCTCAATGGAGAAAGTTGTTCAATAATTTTTCAATCAATGAGAATATTTGTGTTACCTACCTTAGTTCTTTACTTTCAGTAATTAGAACATATAATCTTATGTTTCCAATTTATACTCTCAACTTTAGGAACTGTTTGATTTTTTGAAATATATGAATCTTACATCAATGTTATTAGTATGTGTTCTTCTGCGCTGACACATTCCATCATATTTGAATCCATATAATTTATGGCTGGAGCAAGAGTTTCCACTAAATCAATATATGATTCCTTCGACATTCTATAAAATGCCAGAAATTTTGTGTCACTCTCTTGCATTTCACTTGCAGTAACAAAAAGTGCAGTAACAAAAAGTCGAGTGTGAAAATTTCGTGCAATGTACGGATGCACCCATAAACTTCGTTGTCTTCTTCTTCTCCTGATCTGCCGGTGCCACAAAAACATGAATATGTCCTCGATCGCCATTGGAACTGCTCATTTTTAGCGAAACATTTATTTTTGAAGTTGCAAAAAATAGAGTAACTAAGTTGATCAGACGCGAGTCGACTACACAAAACGTCGACCCATATGCGGATGACACACACTCCCGTCTCTTGAATCGTACGAATGCAGAAATTGTGACGTCATTGCAATCGCGTCGCCCATGTCGCCGACCGACCCGTGTGCGGAGGGCCTAAAACTCTTCGGTGTTTTGAAAAAGTGTGGTCAAGATATTCGGGGTTTATATGTACCTTCAAAAACGAATATTCGGAATAACCTGAAACACTTAGAAAAATCAGCCTTCACGACACACAAAAGCACAATCAGCAGTCATGCCCATCGATTGCTAGCGAAAAAAAAAATACAGAAAACGTGACTCACCGTGGCGGGCTGTTGGGCCAAAGTGTGCTTACTCATTACCACCGTGGTGGTTTTCAATTCAGTGGTCGGCGATTTCGGGGGCACCGAATTCTCCACGGGGATGTGTGCCAACGTTTCCACTGCTCGAACCACGTCGAGCACCTACAATTAAAAAAAGAAGATGAAAAAAAAAAAATTAAAAATGCCTATGCATTGACAATTCATGATCAGAGTTATGCCCTGCTAAGTGAAAGTTCCGTATGTGCAAAAATGGCAAATATGAGATTTTTGGATGATTGTATACTGCGGACATTTTGGAATCTCTTCACTAAGGAAAAACACCGTATATGTCATAATTAGTGGAAATATTCGTCGATTTTGTTTGCCATATCTACAAAATTCACTGTGAATACTAGACAAAAACGCAGTTCCTGCAGTATATTGAGCAAAAGTGCAGCATATGCTCTGTATTTACTGCACTCTTCCTTAGAACTTGTCGGTTACTGCTCAGTTAGTTGGTGAGAATGTGCAAAGCGTATCTGTCTGTTCGCAGGTTTCGTAGGTAGATTGTTTTGGATTGTTTCTTCACGTCGGTGTATTTCTTCTAAAGTGCTAATATTCCAAGAGTGGACCTGAAGGAAATTAAATACACCGACTTCTATCTTTGGAAGTACTCTCAACAAAGAAATCAAGAAATAGATTATACTCATATCAGACATAATGATAATAATAATAGTAAACCGACTTCATTCATCAAAACAGAAAAAGGTGAAAAGGCAATAAAGTGATTTTAAATTTTACATCAACAGTTTTGCATCGTAGTTTCTTGAATTCAAACATTCTTTATTCAACGAGTTACAAGGCATAAACGCCGTATGTTAACACTACCTAATGATGAAGCAGTATGTTGTACGTACACATACGGCCTTCGTTCTTTGTAATGGCAATACCATTTCTGCATTATATGCTTTTTTAAGCAAAAAAAACCGTGTAGTTTTCGAAAAAGGACTATTGCAGACAATACAAAATGTAATTGTTGCTCAAGAAACATGTATATCACTGCGCAATCGACCATAAGGTCTCTTGGCCAAAGTAAAATTCAAATAGTCGCATATCTCGAAATGGCTGTTTTGTACATACGGCACTTTCGTTCATCAGGGCAGAGTTGCTCTGAAAATGTATCCAAAATACCAGTAATTTGTTCGTGTACTAATAAAACATCTAAGTATATCATATTGAATCAGGCAATTATTCCAAACGATTTTTTAAAACGCACTTGAATGGGATGAGAATAGTTTTGGGGTGTGAAACAGATTTGATACTACACTTACCTTATCAGCAGGTGATGGGGGTTTAGCTTCAACAAGAGACAATTCTTCTATTTGAGGTATAGGTTGCAAACGTTTGTCAGCCTCCTCAATAAATTGCACAAGTTCAGATTTAGGTTCTTGACCCTATAAAAAAAATAACAGACATCTGAGTCTATGATCAGGATTGTTGTGATGAAACTTTCTTTCAGTTTTTTGTGAATAATAATGATGACTGACCTGTTGACTTTCATCGTCTCCAACATCTAAAGAACTAACGCTCTGCGATCTACTACTGGTAGATCCCCCTCTTGCTAGTCTACCGTCCTGAACAGCTCTTTCTATATCACCTTTATCATATCCTTTGCACACGACCATATAAATAATATTCCCACACGATCTCAGACAGTTCACTGCCTCGTTGTGGGTAGCACCTAAACATAACAAGTGAAAACAATCAGATTATCATCACTACAGCAATCGAATAGTTATACACTCTGGTGCAAAAGAATATCGCCATATTTTTCACTACCGTGGTGTATATCATATTTTTTAAACCACTAGCGATGCTTGTCAACTTTCAATCATTATAGTTCCATCAGGAGGGGTGAAAGAACTTACAGTCACAACTCCACCACATGAACAATTTGATAACGACCAACGGTCATGGACAAAAGGACATGTTTCGAAGGATTAATCATTCATCAGCAAATTTATAAAAAGAAGAAAATCATTATTGGTGGATAAAGAAAATTACTTAAATAACCTAAGACACTATTTTAAACCGCGCATAGTTCGGGTAGGTAACTGTTAGGGAACAAACATTATAACAAGCTCTATAAGAGCCTTATTTTCAAAAATTGTTCGATGTAAAGAAAATATTCGAAAGCACCAACATGTGGATATGAATTTCAGATGATGAAGGATTAATCCTTCGAAACATGTCCTTTTGTCCATAATCGTTGGTCATTATCAAATTGTTTATGTGGTGGAGTTGTGACTGTAAGTTCTTTCACCCCTCCTGATTCATATCACCTCCACTATAAGTAATGAATCACCCACGTTGGTTTCATTATAGTTCATACTAACGAAATACTAAAAATTCTATTGCGGTATCTATAAACGACAAGGTGAACAACTTTTTATTGAGCAGCGAAGGGTAGAGAACGATAATGCAGAAGGAATGTCGCATTAGTGCCGCAAAAAAAAGGTTATTTGAAAGCCTTCAGAATATCGAAGTTAGTGATTTTCCTACTTCAGAAAGAAGAATATTCCAAGATAGTTCAGCAACTTGCAGATAGATGGACTCGAGTATAGACAAATCGGCCATTTTTCGCTGAGTTTCGCTAGCACCGCCTACACACCAGCCAAGAACTAAGGCCCAATTTGTCTTCATGGAGATGGATCATCTTGTTAGAGTGAGGGTAGAACCGAAGAAAGTATTTTGAATGTGCATAATTCATATATTCATGAAAATCTAGTTGTCAGTGAATTTCCTTGATGTACCTAAGTACTTCTTATTGGTTAGCAGCAGAGTTGAAATCATTATCGATTTTAACTATCACGATTGGAATCAGGTTTGTTCCGAAACCATTCTATCGTTGTGTAATATTTAATTTTTGAAATACTGTTAGAGAAAAATATTGAGTAATAGCAGTGGAACTCAAGCAGTGTGTAATGTTCAATTTTCGAAACAGTGTTAGGGAAGAGGAATTATGTAATAGCAATGGAAATAATAGTGGAGGCAGTATAATCAGGCATAAAAAGTCTTTTGCTATGCAACGTTCCAAGTAATTTGAATGAAATCGAATCAAAATTGACACTGACTTTGGGTGAACCTATAACATTTTGAGAACAAATTATTCGATTTCCTAGGCATTCAATCTACTTTGCTGCCTAGTAAACAAATAACTATTTTGCATATAAACATTACTATCTCGCTGCTGATCATACCCACCATTGGAGCAGCCATGTTTTTAATATACAGTGGTTTCAGACTATGAATATACAGTAATTTATGTTTCGTGTCATACCCAATAATGATTTTCCGTTGACCTCCAACAACCTCATTCCCGCTCTGAGTCTACCGTCTCTCCTGGCGGCGCCGACTGAGTTGATTTTCGAAATAAAAACGCCTTCGTCGGACCTGTCCAGAGGATTGCCTTTCTGCCCTTGGAGACCGCCCTTTATGTGCATTCCAAGCTTTTCCGATTCACCCTTTTCGATCACCAGTTCCTAAGAGATGATCACAGAATAATAAATCACTTGGAATGGAGTAATAACTTATCTTTTCAATTTACAGTTCGACGAAGAAAGATTTTGAACAAGATGAAAGAAATCTCAATTTGAAAATTTGCTAAGGCTAGGTATTTCGAGAATGGGGAAAACTTGATAATAAAATTTCGTCATCTCTCGGAACTTCAGAGTTCAGATGATGCCGAAAAAATAACGCCACTACTTTGATATATATAAATATATTTTTTTAGAAATAGAAGCTTCTCTGCTTGGTAGGGATAATAATACTGTAGGTATAAACAAATTTACAAATACTGAGTCAAATGGTAATATGGTAATGGTAGTGGTATAGCGCGTAATAAACATAATACATAATATAATACAATTTGTACAACTAAAGTTAGCAAACATTTAACAGTTAAGGGGAAAGCATTTTTTCACATTAGCGATCTACACGTTTTGAAGGTAGTTTAATTTCAAACAAGTTATTATGACTTCATTTCAGTGGGAAGCTGGTTATAAAAAACAGCCCCATTGTAGTACAAGATAGATCTTTTTGATAAGTTTGAATTCACTGCAATTAGTGTAATGCCTCCGTTATTTCTTGTTTCATACTTATGTATTTGACTTCTTGTGTAGAATGTTAAATTGGAGTGACTTGCTTTACTTTTCACCTGGTGGATGTACAAACAAACCTGATAATCATATATCTTAGCTAGATTGAGAATATTATATTATAATTTTTTTCTTATATATGCCTATACTACTAGAAAAGTTACACAAACTTAATTAATATCAAGAATAAGCCACCTTCAATAATATGCAGACAACTTTCATTAGAAATAATTGTCGAACACTTTAGCGAATAATAATGCTTTTCATGTATGGATAGCGGTAAGTACAAAATACAATGAATTGGATATAAGCAATAGATGTTTCAAACCATTTCAATCAAATGTAAGAATCATATGCTGTTAGATGATACTTCATGCAATGAGTGCTAACACTCTCAGTCTCACCAGTTGGCGTTACTAGAATGTGAGGTCAATGCACAGAACTGTCAGTCAAAAATCTCAAAATTTTGCCGGATAGTCCTAAAGGCTGTAGCCTATTTGAACAAATAGAAAAACTCAACCCGAAGAACCCAAAGAAGATATCGTAGGAAGAGGCCAGAAGAGGCCAAAGAACACGAGAAGAAAAAGTATATTTATCAGTTCTACCAACTATGACCTCACATTTCAGTAGCGCGATCTGGTAGATAATTATAAAATAATGTTAGCCCTCATTAAGACTGAATGAATAAAATGTTCTACCCGAGTATGAAATGAAATTAAACACACAAACATACTTGGAGATGTTCAATCTGAAAGTACATTATTCAAAACTATTTACAACTTTTTGCTATACAGTTCAACCAGTGTATGAAAACAAAATGTAACTCTCGAAAATAAATACTCACCGTAGGGTTCAGATAAGATACCATCAGTTGCTTGGAAAAACATAATCTAGTATAAATATCTTCAATTCTCGATCGAATCAAGTATTTCTTTTCATAAACCAGAATGACAAAATTGAAAATTAATGGGTAATGTAATAGATGCGGGGATCAAATTGGTGTGTTGTAAAATTTTTATATCTCAACTTCAAAGTTGGGAACCAACTCCCCAAAAGTCGAAACTTGCGCGGGGTTTGGAAGAGTGGGATCTACAGCTTAAAGTGGAATCTGAACCACTTGAAGAATAATTCAGTCAATCAACAACACTGCACCCTCCACCCAAAATCGTTCATCTGTTAGAAGTTAGGTTGTCGTTTATTAGTAAATTTTCTACTTTATTCTTTAAAACACGTGAAATTACTGACGGATATTCTTAATGTATGTGTGGAAATCATAGAAAATAAAAAAGAAAATTATCGGTATGTCCAATGAATTCTGGAAGAAATGACCAAATTTCCGTACGGAAATAGAAAACCTTCATATTTTGAATGAAGATTTGATGATTGATCAGTGGGGTACACACAAAATTTGAAAAAAAACTTGGTTTGCTCTGAACTTCCACAGACGCTCTACCACGTGAACAAAATATGTAGATTATGCTGTAGAACATTTAAGTCATTTTTCCTCGAAACTAACCAGGCAAACCAGGTTAACTTTATTATGACGTGACGGTTACTTTATTAGGACTTCACGGTTACTTTATTATGACATCACGGTTTACTTGTGGAGCCTGACAGAATACAGATACCAGTTTGTCAGTTATTTATTCACCGGCCATTTGTACCAAAAAGATATTCCATCTCTATAGTCTCTAGAAAGATACGGCACTTGACTACTTCAAATCCAATAAAATCTGATCAACTAGCCATTACCTATTTTGAATAATTCCATTATTTCTTTTTCGTCGATAATATGAGATGATCTTCAATTCACAAATACCTCGTATGAATCCATAATTATCTTATTAAAAATAATTATTTCGATTATAATAACATCAACAAGAGTGAGAAACAAGAGCACAATCCAGTGAAGCCTTAAACTAACACCAGTGAGCTGGTTTGTGTGATTGGTTAACTCTGACGAATAGTTTGGAAAATTGAGTGGTTAACTTATCGTTGACCTAGTTTGTGTGGTTAACTTCGAGGAAAAATGGCTTTGGGCTCCACAAATTATAAGAACTTCCAGTACAAGACGACATAAATTGTACAAAAAATGTTCCTCTCCTTCAAGAAACACTTTATTATTGAGATACTTACTTGATATCCCGCAGGCAGAGGATCATGCCTGATCGTAAGAGTAATCGAATCCCCAGGCCTTATCAGTTCCATGACTGTCTCCTGATGAGTCGCTTGAGTTACATCGGTCCCGTTAACCTTCAAAATGCGATCACCTACTCTCAGTTTGCCACATTTTGCTGCAACACCACCAGGGACCATCTAAAACGAATTGATCAATTGATTGATTGTCTTTATTATCCCAAGAAACATATTTGTTTATAATAGGGATACGTGAACACATATAAAAAAATTAATAGTAATAATAATAAAAGGTTATGGAAACAAATTCATACTTTTTCTGTTGGTTCTACAAAATGTAGATGAAAAATGCACTCAATTGATTCATTTTGTAATTTTTCTGATGGTTTTAGGCATAGTTCCACATTGATACATCAGTGTCATCATACACATGCCGTTCAAAATTTTGCTTAGATCAATCTACAATATAGTTTGACTTACATGTGAAACGAAAATTCCTGGTTCTTTGATCCCGAATGGAATACTGGAATGATCCGTGCCCCCTATAATACTGAAACCTAGAGATCCTCCTAGCTTACTCAACGTTACGTCCTGAAATGAGAAAATGAAGGCTATGCAGAACTATTATCAGGAGGGATGCTCAGACATCATCATAATATCTCAGTAACCCTTTGAAGTTTTATTATTTTCAGCTAGTGGCGAGCTAGCGTCTATAGATTAAAATATATCATGTATAAGGGGACTTCAAGTTACTAAAATGTCAATGATTTCAAGTTTACCATTGACAATGCTTAGCTTAAAATAAGAAATAAGTTTTATCATAAAGAAACGGATCTTCATCTTTGTTGAATTCATAGATAAAGTCGTCTTTAGAGATAAGCGACCAGTGTGACATGACAGTCCCCTCTAACATGGCGTGTTTATTATAAAAGGGGTGGCATTTTCAAAGTGAAGTTGACCTCATTTAGGGTAAGAAATTTGAAGAATAGCAAGGGTGTTTCATACACTCACTAGCAAAATTTTGTTTTTGGTATTTTATATTCTCTTTTTATGTAAAATTGAAATCAATTTGAAAATACGGATGCAGGATGTACTATTTTCTGCTGGAAACCCCCACAATGAGTCAAGGATGAAATTAATGCAAATACACGTATTTTTAGTAAGAGCAACAATTTAGTTACATGAGCATAGAAAACATTGGCAAAGAAATGATGATTTTGTCTTCTGAGGGTCATTGATTGCGAAAAGTATTTTGAAAATACCCCCCTGTTCTGATGATGAATATTGCTTAAATAATTTGAAGCCATCAACTTGGTGAACAGGATATCAAGCAGGAAATGTCTATAATACTTTAGGGATATCAGGAAAAGTACGAAGAAAAGAGTAAAGGTAAGGTGAGAGCACAGGATATTCTGTGGTAAGAGTTACGAAACCCGTTTCTTTTCACTTAGAAACCACGAGAATAAAAAGTCTAGTAAGTGTTTTCAATCAAGGCGATGAATGATTTCCACACACTATAGATTGAATGACTGTTCCAAAATAGAATAAATCGTTCATACAGGGTGATTCAAAAATATGTACCAAGCTTTCTGGAGCTGATAATACATTGGGAATATAGTTTGATGAATGACCTAACGTCACAAAATGTATATTGTACATATCCCTGCAATGTTGATTAAATTGAAATATTTTCCGCATAACATCAAAACGGTAAATGTCACTAGATTGATATTTCTGATATTGTTAAGGATGTTTTCAGAGGGTGGGTCATGATTTTTGACGAAAAATTTTTCCTTGTATCTTTTTTTTGTGAGAAAAAATAGAAGCATTTGATAGAGCAAAAAAAAATCACACAAAAATAGTACTTTTATCAAAATACAAAAAAAATGTAACCGTTTTCAAGATACTTGAGTTTTCGTACTGACATGATATCAGCAGATGAATTAATCAGTAACGATATTTTAGGAGGCCTCGAATTTCTTGACCAGTCACCATCTCTGTTTTTCGTATATTCTTTTTCACGCAATCTTTGCACAATCCAAAAAAATTGTTAATATAACGGATAACCTGCGATTTCTTGAAATCCCAGTTGAAAATCGCAGTAAAAATATTATTGTTGAAAAAACCAAACAAGGAAATTAACAATAACAATATTGATGTCATAAACTTCAAAATTAAGAACAAAATTGGTCATGGGCTCCTAAAATATTGTTACCGATGTTAATCTACTGATATCAGGTAACTACAAAATATCTCCAAAACGGTCCAATTTTACGTATTTTGATATGAGTACCTCTTTTATCATTTATTTTTTCGCTTTATTAAATGCTCCTATTCTTTCACCAAAACGAATACAAAGAAAACAACCTTTATAACGATATCATACATTTAAAAGTGTATCAGAAAAATGTAATTTAGCAACACACGTTTATGCAGAAAATTTCAATGTGGTGACTTTCATCCTTCAGAAGTTATGCGAAAACATTATTGAAATTTGATCAACTTTGGAAGGATATATCTCCATTAGTATGCATTTTGGACTATAAGTGTATTTTTAATAGTTCATAGTATACTTATTTTTTAACGTACTATCCAGAAACATCGGTACACATTTTTGACTCACCCTGTACACACGACCATGAGTAAAAGTTCTTAGGGGCTGCAATATTATTTTGTAGAATAGAGCCCTCGAGGTCAAAAACTCTGTTGCATAATTTTTGAACTTTTCGTTTTTGTAATCTGGATCTGTTTGGCCTAGTGAGGTAATTGTGAAAACCAGTATTTGTTAATGAGTCAATTTTATACATTTAAATTGAGTATGTTATTTCGCAACTTGAAAATTGCGTATTTTATCGTAAAAATTAATCTTACATAAACAGGTAAACTGAAAAATTTAATGGACCATGAGAGTGATCTTCTTGAGTGTGCTGCCCTGTATGACTTGAAATGTCCACCCCAACAACGTGAAATGGAATAAAAAGCAACAGAGAATAGATTAACAGTTTATGCACCAGTGCTGCAATATGGATGTGCTGAATGATTCAGATTTATGAAAGACATTCCATCAAATCACGGTCCAATGGCCAACATGATTTTCTAAAAGTGCGGTCGACCTATTCAGATTTTTAATTGGAAATAATTCCATTTGATGTTTCCAGGAAATGGCCAAGAATCAATAGATAGATATGCAATCAATAGTGGATGAAATAACTAGAAAGTATACGGTTAATTCTTACTTATTCTAGTGATTTCACCAATAGGTACAGGGTGATTGACTATGGATTTCTCGACTTCAACAGCTGATATCTCGAAAACGAAAAAAGATATTTGAAATTTGGAAAAAGTTACTTGAATGAGATGTCATTTCCTTCTGGAAAATGTGTTCTCTGCTTGATTTTATCATTTCATATACAGGGTATGTGGAAAAAAAATTTTTTTTCAAATGGAACCCCCTGTATATTATCGCATATTTGGAAAGAGCTATCTTTCCTGATTCTGAAAATATATACTTTTCATATATTCTATCGAGTGCTTGACGAAATATCAGCAAAATTAATCATCAATATTTGGTCCAAGTTAGCTATGGTTGAAATAGAATGAGATGATGAATAAGTGAATTGACATTTGGTCAACATTTCAGTGACATAAGTGCGCAAAATTTCGACAATTTTTTCACGATGCCATATCCACTGGAACAAAGAAGAGATATTTTGGAGTGCTATTTTTCAGTTGATAAAAATCTTGCTGAAACACTTCATAAGTTTATGAGGAGTTATCCAGGCAGGAGATTACCAAGTAAGAATTATGTAAAGTATTTGGCTGCTAAATTTGACAGAACTTCCATTTTGTCGAATATCAAGAGGATAGTGAGAAGGCAAGACAACGAAGACGAGGAACTTCTTGTAATCCAGTATTTTGTTGAGGATCCTTCACGGTCAATAAGAAATGCAGTGAGAGAGTTTGGTTTCAGCTATTATTTTGTTCAACATACCTTAAAGAAATATAAATATAGGGATTTCAGAATTAGACCATGCCACACACTCAATTATGATGATAATGAGAAGCGGATTGAATTTTGTCTTGTCATATCTGAAAGATTAAATTTAAGTAATTATAAGTGTAAGTGTTTCAGCAAGATTTTTATTAACTGAAAAATAGCACTCCAAAATATCTCTTCTTTGTTCCAGTGGATATGGCATCGTGAAAAAATTGTCGAAATTTTGCGCACTTATGTCACTGGAATGTTGGCCAAATGTCAATTCACTTATTCATCATCTCATTCTATTTCAACTATAGCTAACTTGGACCAAATATTAATATTTAATTTTGCTGATATTTCGTCAAGCCCTCGATAGAATATATAAAAAGTATATACCTTCGAAATCAGGAAAGATAGCTCTTTCGAAATATGCGATAATATACAGGGGGTTCCATTTGAAAAAAAATTTTTTTTTCACGAACCCTGTATATGAAATGATAAAATCAAGCAGAGAACACATTTTCTAGAAGGAAATGACATCTCATTCAAGTACCTTCTTCCAAATTTCAAATATCTTTTTTCGTTTTCGAGATATCAGCTGTTGAAGTCGAGAAATCCATAGTCAATCACCCTGTACAATAATAATTGATGCTGTACGGACTTATTTTTTCCAACACTAGCAAATCCTGAGAAAATCCAGTCGCCATGCGCGAATTGTCATTCTTCCGTTTTGTACCGGGTAGAGTACCTCGAACATCTCATTTCACGCCCAATGACAACTAAATATCTAGACTGTTTGACGGGTTATAGATGACTGTTAATTCAGCGAAAATCGCCAAAATCGCCCTGTAATGAAATTTCGAAAGGACGCTATGTGGCGTCATCTATTTCCTGTGTCAAATCAGCTAATCAACATAGCCTGAATCATTTGTTGACAAATTTTCTCAATTTCAGCCCGTCACTCACTGTCATTAGAGTTTGGAGAGCTTTGTTCGAGATATCAAAAAAAAATATGGATACCAACAAAATGAAGTGGTTTGGAGTGTGCATGCCAAATAACGCTATTATATGCATAAATAATAATGCCATTCAAGTGGAAAATCATCTTCGTCATTTCGTTAATAGGTAAGGACATGTTCAAAGATTTAATTCATTGATTTCTGAATTTTGAACTGCCTAATGAGAGCAATGATAGATTTAATAACCTGAAATACCTACCTGATATGTACAATGTTCAAAATAACAAAAAACAAATGACTTCACCGGAAGGTACGGTAGCTAAACCGCTCTAGTATGGGTTGCTTGCAAGAACTGTCAGATAACCGACCCTGGAGGTGAAACATTGAAACACAACGTCACTTTTCTTATTTGTTTACAGATGATTGAAATAGTATTTCATAATTATTTTGGCATACCAATCGTGTTTTTCGGCTATTCATTGATTCGCGCATGCCATCACATTGTGCTGTTGTACAATGCACCAAAAATGCAGCGGGATCCTGTTGGTACATGATGATTTGAAAGTCACTCACATATAGTTTTCAATTCGAAATTTGGTAATTTCTCTGACTTCTTATCGGAGTTCCTTCTGCAATAGGAGCTAATAGAAATA